TGACACAGAGGCCGCAGGACTGACCTCCTCAGTGACGGAGAGACAGCTGACACAGAGGCCGCAGGATAGACTTGGGCTCTGGGTTAAGAAGCCACAACACCCCAGAACCACAGAGTCCTCTGTGTAGACTGAGACTCCTGACCCCTTCCCAGTATCACTGAAATCTTGCTCTGGAATTGAGAGGCAGAGATAAGGCCCCAGAGTCCCTTAAACTTGCCTGGCACTAACGTACCTCAATCTTACCAATCACTAAGAAACATTGAATGTGTAAGAGTCTTTAGCACCGGAATATGTACACCCTCGATATAGCTGTTCTCCTCTTTGCCTTATTTACGAGATATCTTGTTTTATCTCAAACTGAAGGTGGCTTTCTCCAGCCAACCTTCAGCTTCCTGAGTGTGAGGCGCTGACTGGCCGTCACCAGGGAGCACAGATTTCCTGGTCACTGCCCCAGAGGATCCTGGATGGTGGAGACATGCTCACGGAAGACAGACTTACGTTAATGACGTGCCGAACACCAGAACAGAATAAACTCAGAGCAATGTGACAGTTCAACATGGAGGGGTTTTTTTGTTTTTTGTTTTTGTGAGACAGTGTTTCACTTTGTCTCCCTGGGTAGAGTGTTGTGGAATCATAGCTCCAACCTCAGACTCTTGGGCTCAAGTGATCCTCCTGCCTCAGCCTTCCAGGTAGCTAGCTGGGAGTACAGGTGCCCATCACAACACCCGGCTATTTTTAGACAAGGCCTTGCTCTTGCTCAGGCTGGTCTTGAACTTGTCAGCTGAGGCAATCAACCCATCTCAGCCTTTCAGAGTGCTGGGACTACAGGCAACCCACCATAATGCCCAGCTATTGTTTTAGAGACAGGGTCTTGCTGTGGCCCAGGCTGGTCTTGAACTCCTGAACTTAGCTGATCCTTCTGCCTTGGCCTCCCAGAGTGCTGGGATTATAGGTGTGAGCCACCTCGCCAAGCCTCAATATGCAGTCCTGAAAAATGAGAAGACTCAAAGGCTGGTGGTATAAGATCTCAATAATGACAACATTCAGTGCCACAGCAAAGTGCTTATGCAGTCATTTGCTTTCAGCAAATACTGTGGGAAAGGCACCTTTTCACATGTAAGCAAGCAGGCTTAGAAAGACAGAGTAGCATAACTAAGGCACTGTGACCCAAATACTGTAAAAATAAAAAATAAGTGCAGATGTTTTAACTGCACATTCAGGCTCTTTCCTGCGTGACTCCTGGTCTTCTGAGCTTTAAGGTGCAGCATGAGTCTTCTCAGTTGCTCTTGCATCTGCTCAGCAGAGATGAGCTGCGCATCTCTGAAGTGCTGGTCATTCTGCTGGGCACAGAGAATGTTTGGCTGATGAGACACAGCCTCGGCCTGCACAGTGAGCTCAGAGCCTACAGACGGCAGGGCGTGTCATTCAGACAGGCCACTGTGACACCGTGAGATGTTTGCCACCACAGCATGGGGTGGGCCAGGGGTCACCTGTGAAAGGCCTCTCTCCAGATCGAGAGTTGGGGAGGCTTCCTAGAGAAGTGACGTTTGACTGAGCCCCCAGGGTGGGTAGGAGCTGAAAGGCTGAGAATGTTCCAAGCCAAAAACAAAGCACATGCAAGGTCACTGCAGAGAAGGGGCGGCCCCAGTCAGGCCCAGAGTAGAGAAAGGCCCAGCAGGTTCGCAGAGTCAGCCTAACATGGCCACTCCTCCTGTTGGGTGATTCTCAGAGTCAGCCTAACATGGCCACTCCTCCTGTTGGGTGATTCTCAGAGTCAG